CCAGTACATTGGCCATGCCATCCCTTTGTGGTCTGGATTTTGGCTTGGCATGAGAAGTCATTCATGAACCTTATTGTGTCGTTCTAACAATGAATTGCTTTTCTCTTGTTTGTTTTTAGCATCATGTTATCATCTTGCACTTATAGTAGCTTAAACATGATGTGTCTAGGCATGGATCTTTCGAAGTTCATCCTTTTTGGCATTTGTTAAGCTTCTTAGATGTTCAGATTAACATTTTCATCAAGGTTTGAATGGTTTTGTCCATTATTTCTTTAGATAATCTTTTCTGCCATTTTCACTTTTCTTCTAAACCTCCCATGAAACAAACATTAATCTTTTAGTGTAGAGCATGTGTGTACCCGAGGCTCTGTTCTTTTGTTCCTATTCTTTTCAGCTTCTTTCCTTAAGGAACATGTTGCACACCTGCAGATTCTAGTCCTGGTTGCATCCATCCACCCATGTACATACTACCCTGAGAAGAGTTAAGGCTTTGGGGTCAGAGAACTCAGGGTGGCCCTCTTACTGTCACTGCTTGTAATTTACTGGACCTGGGAAAATACTTGACCTTCCCAAGTACCTCTTCCTCTAGGAAGTAAAGGGGTCATCTACAACTGTGGGTGTGCCACTCTAGAACACTGTTATTATTGGTGTTAGGATCTAGTCCAGCCCAATTGCTGGCTCTTACTTGGTTTCTCATCTTTGCTTTTGAAGTAAAACCTCCCAGGCCAGGAACAGTGTGCTTTTGGCTAAAATACAAATGGTTGTTAGCAACAGAAGCAAATTAGAGTCCAACACATTCTGCATTTAGTCTATTTAGGTGAAGAATTTGTGGCGCCTCTACTTGGAGTTGATAAATTAAAAATGATGCTTCTGAAGAATGCTTTTGGCAAGAGACTGGTGTTAGCATTTCCTTATAATTGCTTATGTGCCGTTTTCTCAAAGCTTTGGAAAATTCATTTAGGAATAGAATTTGGGAAACATAAAAAAGGTTCCCAGGTCTGAGTGGAAAGATGGAGAGATGTCCATGAATTTTCATCTCTCTTCTGTTTTCTCTTGTTTCTTTCTACTATGTGAATTTTGCCAGTGAGAAATTATTATTCCTGTAGCCAGCAACTTTCAAAGAAGGATAGTCTAAAAATCAGCAAGAAAACTAAAAAGAATTGGCTGGAAGTCTAGAAGATAATCAGGATTGGGTGGGTGGGGATAGTTTCACTTCTTTTCTTGTTTGGGTTTTTGTGTCTCCATCCCTGCATGTTTAGGTGACTTGCCTGGGCCAGAAAGCTGAGCTATTGAGGAAGACCACTAGGACTAGGGTCATCCATCTTTAGCTGTTCTCATGCAGTGGTTATGGAAACCATGCATCCCCAGGCAGTGCCTGCCTGTACCCTTTGCTCGTGATGTTTCACAATGCTGGATGATGGGAATTGGTTGTGACAGATGCACAAGTGTCCACCCCAGCAACTGTCCTCCTTGCCTTCTTAGGGAGGAAATCAAGGACAATGCTCCACTTGGTTTTCTCACTGTGAAGCTTCAGCCAAGAAGCTTAAATAGGTAGATACTTGTCTTTGGGGACCTTGTTGGCCCCTTGGGATCCATCCAACTCCCTGTCTCACCACAGCCCACAACGGCACACTGTGTCATAAGACAAAACATAGTAAGACTGTGAGTTTAAGTCCTCATTCAGGGTTTGGAAATCCAGTTCTCTTGTGTCTCTGGGGGGAGGGACACACCAGCATAATAGAGATCAGTGTGAATAATCCAGGCTAGCTTCCAGAATGGACTGCTGTAGAGATGTCAGAGGCCAGAGATCATGTGAAATGTGAAGGCTGTCAAGGCCACATCATCTCTTACTTCTGATCATCCCTAAGTCTTGCTTCACTATAGGTGACCCAAAGCCATTTGAGCTGACACCCTTAGCCTAGGGAGAGAAACAGTGAGCACTTCCTCCTGCTGAACCAAGCCTACCTAAGGCTCCGTGGCTGCCAACTAGCACTGATTTTTAAAAAAGATTTTTATCACACACTTCTCAAACATCAGCCAGATTTCTATCCTGTTTTTCCTTATGAGTCTTTGACTTGTCTCTTCACATAGAGATTTTGGATGGTGGAGTACAGGAAAGAGTAGCAGGAGGTGAAGATTTCCTGTGGATGCAATGGGAGGACCCAGAGTTTCCATTTTCTGACCAAGGGGTCAGTGTTGACACCTCATTTGCATTGTGGGTGTGGCTGACAGTAGGGGCTTAGGATCAAGGCCTAGACCAGTTTGTCATGGGAACTTAGAAAATCACCATACTAAATGCCCAACATCATGGGCCCTACCTCATCAATGCTGGAGAGAATATTGACTACCTGGAAAGGTTAAAAAATGAATTTTTTTTTTCACTCTCTTTCCCCAGGAGATAAGCTATTGAGTGTAAAAAGGTTTTTTTTTTTTTTTTTTTTTTAGCTCAGCTTCTGGTACCACAGGCTCTCAGTAAACACTGGTCATTACTGTTCTTATATTTTATTTGTGCCCAAATGCTGTTGATTTCCAAGAGAAAAATCCACCTGTAATAAAATTTTGCCAGTGAAAAAGTTTGGTGAGTGTCCCCTGTGACTCTAGATCGTCCGCCAGAGGGCACCCTTGTTCCTCTGGTGGTAGGCCGAGGCCGAGCACAGGCCAAAGCTTCCGCCATCCTGCCACCCCGTGGGCTCTTTGTGGACAGCATTTCCAGAGCTGCTTCTAAAAGCAAGCTTGTGTGGAGGAAGACATGGAGCCCCAGCCTTTCTTAAAAGCACGGAGAAGCTGTGAATCCAAGCCTAAGATACTTGGAGGCTGGAGTGTGTCCCATCCCAGGCAACTGATGTGTGGCTTGGGGCTCACATCACAGTCTAGGCAGGCGTCTCCGCGGCACCACATTGCCCTATGAGACAGGGTTTTGTGAACCTTTTACAGACGGAAGCCATCTCAGCCCTTTCCTTTGCCCACATTCCAGGAAAAAAAAATCATGCTTTTCATTTACATGTTACAAAATGTATTTGGGATTCATTTGCACCTTTAAGATACAAAGTTAAAGGAAACTGACTGGGAAGCCATGTTTCTCCGGGGCATCGGAGAAGCACATAGAGGGGTGTTCACGTTTTCATTACATAAAACCATCTGCCAGGTTTCCCTCTGCAGAACACAGAGGGCTCTGTGAATAAGAGATGGATTAGCATGCGATAACTACAAACTGACACCTCCCTCATCCAAAGGAAAGACTAAATTCAGGAGAGCAAGCTATAAAAATGCCACACGACTTAAAGAGATTGCATCTCCTCATGTAGTCTTTACAGGAGAGGGAAGTGAGGTCTAAAGAATTTTGAGAGCGTGTGGGAGGATGAATGGGAGGCTAGCTGCATTGTGAGCAGAAGCATAGGGGCTGAGGTTAGCCCCTCCCCCAGCATGTCTCTTCTCAAAGCCACCCTGAGTCATCATCCTTCATTGGGGTTTCTGCTTTAATCCCTATTGTGATAAAAAAAAAACTCTGTCATTCATAAGCATTTTATTCCTTTCCAGTATCAAATTCCCTAACACTATCTTCTCCATGCTGGAGAAGGAAACAGGGCACCCTCACCTGGCGCCAGGCCCTGGGCAGTCATAGTAAACATGATAAACAGAAGAATGAGTCTAGGAGATGGAGGATCCTGACTGTTGTCTCTAAGGTGGCAATCTGGGCTCAAGCCCAATTGGCCCGCTTCAAGTGCCAATCTTGACTACTAGGCAAGACTGCACTGTAGTGAGAATTCAAAGATGGCTTCTGAAAGCCTTTAGTGGCAGCTCATGCCTGCCTGCCATTCAGACATTTAGGTGACTGAGACAGGGGGATTTCTGTGAACTCAAGGCAAAGCTATGTAGTAAGTTCCAGGCCAGACTGTACTAGAGAGTGAGACCTTGTCTAAATGAAAAAAAAGGCTTGTGTTGGAGGCTTTGGAAGTGCTCTTTGAGCTAGACTTGAACATGAGAGACGGACAGGGACAGTAAGACCTAGCCCACAGCTTTTGACCTGTATGATGCTGTGTTGATTTCCTCCATTAAATATATCCCATGTAGAACTGATAGGTGCTTACTGAGTTCCCAGCAGCTCTCTGACTTTGATATCTGCTATGCAGGTGAGCTCCATAGAGGAGGAGTGGGAATCCCATCCGTGTTTTATATTTACTACCTCACGGATTCACTTTTCCCTGAAGACTCAAATTTCCATCTGGTGTCTTCTTTTGGGCAGGGCCTCCTACTCTAATAAGTGCCCTGTGAAGATCTGACGGTGTTGAAGTCTCCTCCCTTGAAAAGCTCAAAAAGAAGGTTGTCTCCTTTGGGTGTGGAATTCTTAGTTAATGTTTTTTTTTCCCCCTTGACTCTGTGTTGACATGGCTCCAATTGCTTCCTGCTCTCCACTGCTTATGATTAGAAGTCAGTAGTCTAGGTGCTGTTGTTTCTGTAGTGTTTGTGTCATTTTTCTCTGCCTGTGCTCCAGCAGACCCCTTCAGCTTTCTTATCGCTTAACTGATGTGTGCTTTTTTTTTTTTTTTTACAAAAAATTCAAGCACAAAGTTTCTCTGTACGGAATCTTCTATTTGTGGCATCATGCTGATACCCCAGAAGTCTTGAGAGCATATGTCTGTAATCCCAGCACTTGGAAAGTGGAGGTAGGGGATCAGGAGTTCAGGGGCAGCCTCATCTACACAAAGAATTTGAGGTTAGTTTAGACTGCATGAGACAGTCACAAAATGAAAGTTTTGGGTTTTGTTGGATTTTTTTTTATTTTACATTTTTGAGGTTAGAGGTGCTTAATCTGTCTGCCAGATCCCTTTGTATTGCAAATCTCTCCTACCCCAGTGCTCATGGGACTTCTGAACTGGTCGTTTGTCTTTCTATGCTCCAATCTCCTCGCTGTTAGAAATGCCCAACATTTCCATCGTTATTCCCGAACCTCACAGAACTTTTTCTGACCAATGTCCCCACTCTTCTTGTCCTTCCCATAGGCTATGGACACGCTGCACCTGGCACAGATGCTGGCAAGGCCTTCTGTATGTTCTATGCTGTGCTGGGCATCCCTCTGACGCTGGTCATGTTTCAGAGCTTGGGTGAGCGCATGAACACCTTCGTGCGCTGCCTGCTGAAGCGTTTCAAGAAGTGTTGCGGCATGCGCAACACTGAAGTTTCCATGGAAAACATGGTGACCGTCGGCTTCTTCTCCTGTATGGGCACCCTGTGCCTTGGAGCGGCTGCCTTCTCCCGGTGTGAGGACTGGAGCTTCTTTCACGCCTACTACTACTGCTTCATCACACTGACTACTATAGGATTCGGCGACTTCGTGGCCCTGCAGTCCAAAGGTGCTCTGCAGAGGAAGCCATTCTACGTGGCCTTCAGCTTCATGTATATCCTGGTGGGCTTGACCGTCATCGGTGCCTTTCTCAATCTCGTGGTCCTGCGATTCCTGACCATGAACACCGACGAGGAGCTGCTGGAGGGAGAAGTTGCGCGAATACTTGCTGGAAACCAGAGCGGCGTGGTCATCCGTGTGCCAGGCGGCCCCCGTGCTTGGCAGGCTCGGTCCTTCCTGAAGAGATACGGCAGGACCCTGTGCTATCTCTGCTTCCCGCGTGGTGCTGGCGCCCAGGATGAAGATGATGATGTCCCTGAAGACGTTGCTGTCGTTGCTGCTGCTTCTGCTGTGGGACACAGACACGTCCGGGCTACTGTCCACTCCGTTTCCTGCAGGGTTCAAGAGATCTCCGCAAGCGAACTGAAGCACAGCTGTTTCCGTACCCCGTTTGGCCCCATCGTTCACGGGATGCACACCTGCGGGGAGAACCACAGGCTGGCCCTCCGTCGCAAGTCCATCTAAGTATGGGAGGGAAGTAAACAGAAGAGTCATTTGTCATGCCGATGTAAGTTCCATTGGTCCAGCTCCTCTTTCCCTCCTTATTTATTTGTTATTACTCTTTTTTGTGATTACGCTCATCATCATTATTCTTTTCTTCCTCCTTTCCTCCTTTCATTTCTTTCCCACCTTTCCAGCTAGGCAGAGCTGTCCAAAGGGAAAACAAAGGCCCAATCCTCTCTGAAACTCGCACCTGAGCATGAAGCATGGATTCCTTGCTTTCTCCCCAGCAGAGCTATGCCTTACATTTCTCCCTACCCTGCCTCCTCTCTCTGGGATGGCTTTCCTAGGACAGGTATGAGAACAAGAGCACCAAGACAGAGCTGAGAGGATGCCCAACCCGAAGCCTTTGACTGCCTACCTGTAGTGATGTCTCTGACCTAACTCCTCTCTTCTTCCCCAAGGACTGGGTGGCTGTATGCACGAGTGTGCAAAATGAGTATGTGTGCTTCTGTGTGCAGGTGTGTTGTGGGACAAGGTGGAAAGTATCAGGTGTTCACTTCCCTTCTCACTCATACAATTTCATTAATGGTCTCCTTGAGGCTGCTTCCAAACAAACTAAACCCTGCGAGGCTGATCACCTTGCCAAATTGAGCACACCCCATAAAAGCACTTTTGACCCAAGATGTGTCATATTGCCATATTTCAAATGGCTAGTTTCTGAATATCATTCACCACAGGGATCAGGTTAGCTTTCCAGTTTAAAATTAAATCTTAAGAAGCACGTATGTATCATTTGACATAAGAAAGCAAAGGTTGCAAAGGGATAGTCAGAAGTCACCAGTGTCAACTTACTCAAGACATTTTTAAGTTCAGCATTTCCAGTTCCAACAGTTTTTCCTGCAGCTGGAGTTGTCAGGGTAAACAGGAAAATTGTTGGGACCCAAGAGTACCTATTTTATTATTTCCCTCTTCCTAACGATGATGACTATGACGATGATGACTCTGAAGCCTCTAACTGCATGGATAAGAGTACTAGTTTTGGAATGCTTGGATGAGAATGGGTATCAGAATGACAATGTGGTTTCTTTTCCTAATAACAAAGTGACAGGGCATTCCTTGTTTAAATATATATATATATATATATATTTAGAGAGAGAGATATATTTTAGGGAAGATTCTCTAAATGCATTTGCTCTATAAATAGGGAGAAGTTCACGTTGGTCTCAGGAAGAGTTTAGAGGCTGTATGTTGGCCTACTGGGAAGTTGTCAATCTCAGGGGATGCTTTTGTCTAGGTAGTGGAGAAATTCTTCCCCACTCTCAATAAAGGGTAACCCCTTAGGGGACAGTTTAGGCTAGACTATATGGCACATTGTATGTAGGCCCTTTCAATCGCAGGGGTCTGAGGGCAGCTCAGCTCCACATTCACTGAGGGACTCTTAATTTCTCTCATTGCCATCCCTGTCATCTCTAAAAGTCACCCACTCACTCATCCTTCCACTCCTTCGTACACTGGAAGTTCCTGGCTTTTGGATGGAAATGGTCTTTGGCTACACTACGCATGCACAAGGAACGCACTTACTGGTTTTGAAGATTTCTTAAAGGACACATCATCCAAATGCCACCAGTCCCAAGCATGTGTGCCATTGGGCTGAAACCAGGAGCATCCAGGACTCCTCTGGAAAGTCAATGCATGCACTTAATGCTACGCCCCTGTTGAAATATCCCCCTTCGTCTAGGACATGGGACCTACAAAAGGAGTCTGTGAACCTTAGACTCTCTTGACCAAAGTTGACATATACAAACTTCAAGGTCTTTATCAGTTGACTTGTTTGAGATTTTGTTGTATGGAATGCCCTGCACAGGGTTCTGAAGTCTGTCCAGAGAATAGAAGCAATCACTCTTCTTGAATGTGTGTGCTCTGCAAAGAGATTGTTGGCTCTTTTGGGTCACAGGCGTGACAATCCTGATGCTTACATGCAGAGCACTTTATGCCTCGGAGGAGGCTTCCTGGAACACATGTAGGAATGCCCCTGAAGACTGTTGTAAGATTTGCCCTCAAATGGGGGGTATGTGTGATCACCTCTCATTTGTATATGGCACTGAGAAAACTAAGGGTCCACTCTCAGTCCCTACTCAGAAGGGCCCAGAAAGTAGACTCCGTGACTCCTGACTCAGCCTTCCAGTGGAGGAGGGACCCTGCTCTGTGTCTCCACAGGGCCAGTTGTTAGGCCAAGGAGTCAAGTCACAGGGACATAGGCTCAGCCTATCTTCAGAGCTGGCTTCCCACTCATGTATCTGTGCAAAGTGGTCACACAGTGACCATTGTGTTGGAAAGATTTAATGGCAGGAAGATCCCTCTTCCAAGAGAAGTATAGACAACACTTCCTTCATTCTCACTTAGCTGACTCACCCTACTTTCTGCAAGGTAAAGATCTGTAGAGTGAATTCGTTCTTGTAGCCCTCCTGTGTCTTCGGCTGTTCATTGCCAGTTCAGCTTTGGAAGAAAGGGCACCAAGGTGTCTCTTCCAAGCCCAACATCAGAGGATGGAGGGAGGGAATGAGTCTTGGCTTATCATCCTGTGAGCACCTCTCAAATGACCCATTTGTCCCTTAGCAGGGAACCTGGTGAGATTGTTCTCTGGGCTCATCCAGTGATGTGCTCCCTTGGGGTGAGGGCAGGGATAAGTCATGTCCTGAAAGACTTTCCTCTTTGCAAGATGGGAGTGGGCCACTCCCATGAAGAACCAACCAGTAGAGGCTGAGAGCCTCCAGGCAGGGGGATCACCACTGACTCCCTCATTTTCAGAAGAGGAGACTGAGGTTCAGGAAGGTCAACATATCTGAGGGCATGTGTCAAGAATATAGGTCTTCACACTTCGTTTTGCTGTTGTCCTAGCTGCTTTCTTGCTGTTCTACACAACATTCCAAAGATACCCTACTTCTGGACTGTATTATGTCTCTGGCCAAGGCCTTTCTCCCCCTGTCATGTTCTTGACAACTTCTTTCAGCCAAGTGATTGTTGTAACCTTCCCTGCAGTTAGCCAAACCCCTTCAACCGCAAGGGAGACGACCTCATGCCAGGTTGTTTGCATAAGGGACTCAGCTTCAGGAACTGGAGCCTGGCTTGTTGTCCAGTTCCTGGGAGTCGATTTGCCTTGTATATACTTAAGATATCTGATTCACTTGAACTCTTCACTAAGTGATCTCCATCTTTACTTCATTAAGGACAGGAAGAAGTAGACAATGCTATGGAGTAACCCAGAGCTCTGGGCTTGATGATTTCTAGTGTTTATCCCATTTTGACCCTTAAAGGTATTCAACCCAGGAAGAAGGTGCTGTCTCACCCATTAGCCTATTAGACTTTGAACATCAGAGGGAATCACCCTCTCTGCATTTTGAGATTCTCTGTGAGGCTCCCAGTTCTGTGCTTTCTGATTGTCCCGCTCAGTCTGGAGGCCAAGGCAGCAGTTTCTAAGACCAGCAATCCTATGATCAACCTACCATTCTCCTGGGAAGGCTGTGAGAGCCACGGTAGGTGATTTATTGACAGGAGTGCCAGCACTCAGCATGGCCATAGTAGATGTTTTCTGTATGCCTGATGGAGAAGACATCTGGAGGGTATGTAGATAAGCTGAGACAGTCATTGTTTTAATCGGTTTCATCCTGATGTGAAATCTGTATGGACCTTGAGTCCCAGTACCACCCATTCCAGCTGGAATCTAGAGGGATAAGGGCTCCTTGGAAATCTTTTTGTCTGTGTGCTCTGAGAGAAAGAAAGAGATCAGAAAATAATCACTCATCATGGGCTCTCCAGCCTCATATCCACATATTCTTTCTAAAATACTGAGCCCTATATTGAGAGTATCCACAGAGGTATGAGATCTGAGATATATTGTAGAATGTGTCCATTCTAACAGCTCCAAGCTTGCTGTTAATTATGACTTAGTTTTGAAAGTGGTTATGACTTTCACACACATCTGAGATGCAGTTTCCTCCAGAGTCAAGGTCTTTTCAGGACCCGGAAGGCATCCTGGGTGAAGAAAGAGTAGTAGGACAGGGAATGGTTTTTCTGTCTTGCTTCACTGGCTTCTTGGAAGTCATTTCGTTCCTTGAGCCTCTGTGGCTTTCTCTTTGACATGAAGATACAGTGAGGGTAGCACAAATGAGCTTTACCCATAAGGACTTTCGGTTTGGATGATCTGGTCACATTTGAAGACTGAGCCATCAAAAACCCAGCCAAACTTATGGTGGGAGTTGGAGTTCTGGGAAGGCAAAGAGACACAAGTGCAGGCATAGAGCACTGGTCATTGTGTAGAACATGGTATAACACATCGTGGGTTCCCTACAGTACTGGGCTTACATTGACTCTCTGTGGTCCCATCTTGACCACATGTTGGTAGAGGTTGCTGCTTCAGGAAAACAAAAGTCTATGATCAGGATTCCACTGACACCAATTCTGAAAAAAATTCAAGGGTGACAGAAAAGTTGATAGAACAACACCATGGGTTTTCTTATACCTTTCACCCAGAACCCCAGCCTCAGTACCCCTTCAACACTGAGATGGTTGGAAGAGAAGGTGTCGTGATGTCTACAGCTTTTAGATAGTTCAGCCAAAGATGACATTGTATATTTCCCATGAAAAGTGCATTCTCTTACGTAATAGTGCCATTGTCACACCTAAGAAACTTAGTATAAGAACATCTAATATAATAATATAATCTGTATAAAGAATTCCCCAAGTGTCCCCAAAGTGTCCTACTGAGCTTGTTTGTGAATCTAAGACACCATCCAAGATCACACCCCACACCTGCTTGTCTTGTTGTTTCCTAGTCCCCCAATTGAGGGCATCTCCCTCACTGTGTTTGTGTCTCTTGACAATTGATATTTTGAGGACTCCAGGCCTGTAGTCTTGTAGAATGCCCGTGATCTGCTGTCGTCTGCTTGTTCCCTCGGGTTAAGGAACTGCTGACAAGAAAATGATGTAGTTGATGTTGTGTAGCCCTGATTTATGCATTTGATGTTCGTCTCTCTGGGGACCTCTGTGGCTACTGCTTTTGTTGTGAATAAATAAGTTATAATAAATATTGTTTTCCTCTGTTAGGGGACCTAACTGCGTCTTCAAGAGAGGCGTCCATGGATGCTGGGTCTCACTGTGAAGCCCAAGCAGGCTTCGGATTTCTGACCTCTCCCGGGGACCTCTTCCACGAGGGGCGAGTGTCAGCACCCTTTCCCCTAAAGACCTGTGGGAATGGCCCAGCTATACTTAGACAGAAGGCACAGAGACATGGTCCTTGTAGGGTCCCTTGCCTGCAAATCTGTTGGGCCACCTTGGCACCTAGCAGCAACCTCATGAGTGGCGATGACCACCATACCCTCTCCTGATTTGAAACCATAGAAGTGTGACTTATTATCATGTCAGTGCCCTGGCCATCAAGGGCTACATTTGTTACCTCTATCTTTGAGATGTTTGCTCTGGTATGTTCTAGAGCACAGTCCTTTCCCTTCCAACCCATGAGACACACCTGCTATGACCATGTGACCTTTTCTTGCCCTCCTGGAGGGTCTCCCTGTTGCTTAGCAGCATGGGGGTAGAGATGGAACATATTGGCCCTCCCTTCAGAGTCTTTCCTGCCCTTTTTGCTCCCCTGTGGGCTTAACAGTGTCCTTCTCTGTGTTCCTCTATGTTTGCTTCTCGTGGGCCAACACACCGAGAAGCAAATTCCCATGGGTCAACCTTGGGAGCAGAGAGTTAGAAAGCACTCACAGAGGGGAGGAAGGCCACAGAATAAAGCAGGTCCAAGCATGAGTTATTGGGCTGAAGTAGACATGGGATATTCCAATGCAAATCCCTGGAAACAACCCAAATCTTGGTTTGCATTGCATTGCTCAATAGTCAATTGCATGTGCCTGGGGGGGTTGGGTGTGCCATTAGCATAAGACCAGGAGATATCCACAGCAAAGCACTGCAGCTTTGGAGGGCGGGTACATCTTCAGACTATGGAAGCATGCTGGGTGGGATATTTCTCCCTGCAGTAGGTGAGTCTGATGATGGGGATATCACAAGGGAATCAGGTGGAGGCAGTGTCAATTTCTCGAGGGATATAGGGTGGTTGGGGAGATCATGCCCAATGACCTCTGGGACCCTGGGAGAGACAAGAACACCCACCCACTTCTTGTCCCCCACCCAGAGCAGCATGGTGTGGGACAGCTGCTTGGGACCAGGTTCTGTCCTTCACAAATGGGTGGTGGATTTATCCTTCAATGTCATGTCTCAGTTTTCCCACTCTTGCGTTAGAGGTTCTAAGTAGCTTCCACTGCACAGGGTGCTTGTGAGAACTACACTACATGTAAATGTTTACTGAGCACCTGCTTTGCTCTTGGGAAAGTATGTGCCTTTGGTCTAGCTCGTCTCCCTTCAGGTCAACTGGTTGCTATTGGGATTCAAGCTGTAAGTGTAACTCCAGACCAATTCTGGTGCAGCAATGTCCAGATGAAGCATCACATCCTGTTGTCTGCCCATGCTCTGCTACTGGCAGGGTTGTTGGTGCAGGGCAGGAGGGCAGACAGAGCTCTTCTGTTCAGCAGGTGACTGACAAGGCTCAGAAAAGCTGCAAGACTGGATCTCCAAGGATCACAGAGGGCTGGTACTGAAGTGTGTGGCTGGGGTGGAGGTGGAGGCCTCAAACACAGAAAATCATACAAGGGCACAACTTAGAAAAAGGAGGGAGGGGGTGTTGCCTCTGAAGAAATCACATGGGTGGGGCTCACCCTGGGGAGGAGGCTTTGCATGGATTCCTAATGGAGGGGAGAAACTTCCAGGAATGTACCTGGTGCCAGGAATAGACCTCCTTTACCTGCATTAGTAACAGATGCTAAGAGATGGATACCTGTAATTGTCATGATTAATCTTGTAGACGTTTGTCTTCAGGCATCATCTTCATATCAATGGACCCTAGAGGACACACCTGGGACCAACGGTATTGAGTTCTTTGGCATAAAGGGTGGCCAGCAGGCCCATGCACATGGCAGAAAGTGACTGCCACCTGCACAGGACAAAGGGCTTCTGCTGGACCCCTCCAGTAACACTGTGTGACCCTGTCAGGTGACCCTTCCTGAGAGGTAGACCTGAGAGTAACTTTGAGCATAGAAATGCTCAATTATGTCCTTCCAGCCAACAATGGTTCTGGAAGGATAAGGGTAAATAGAGCCTCATCTTGCAGATGCTGGTGTAACTGACCTTCTAAGAACATGGGGCTGGAAAATTAACCCCAAATGGTACCTTGGTTTTGTCTGAAATTGTGTGGAGACCCAAAGGTGGATGGTGGGAGGGGTGGGCTTGCTCTTCCTCTCACTGTATCTTCATTATGGTGACAGCCAACGTGAAGGGTTATGTTGGGGACAGCTTGTGGTCTGGAGGGAGGTAGAAGAAGAGGAAGGAGCTTGAGTTACTTGGTACATTTGGCTTTCTAGTTTCCCATTTGCTCTTGGGTCCTGGCCTCTCTGGAGGCTCCAATCCAGTTCTTGGGAGACCTGGTATCCAGAGAGCATGCTCATTTGGAGTGTGAGGTGGGGTGAGGGAGGCTCTTGTAAACTTTAGGCACAGCTTTGGTTCTGAAAACAGTGTTGGTTTACTTTTTGCAGCTCACTGGGTAGTGGGTAGAGGGGACCCTGGGCATCTTTCTAAGAGCCAGCCCTTCCTTCCCTTCCTTCCTTATATATAGTCCGGGCATAGGGCTGTGACAAGTCATTTCTCCTCCTCCTCTACAGCAGATGGAATGGCTGGGCACACACTGGTACAGAGAGGATGGAATTCATATCACTGCACCCTAGCTCTTCGCTGGCATTTGGTGGAAGAGGTCAGAGGAGAGACTAGGTCAAGTCCTTTCAAGATGGTGTGAGACTCCCAAGAATGGGCCAGTTGCCCTCTCTTGGGGACTTATCCTTTCCCAGGCCTAGGTGTATAGTGAACTTTTCACTGAAAAACTAGTCTGAACCAAGTTTATCACTCAACCAGTGACTTTTTCTTTATCTCCCTCAAACAATGCATGGCTGTGGGTGGGACAGTCAACTAAAGTTCTCCTTCTCTTAAGGGCTCCTTATTTTTATTCACCTAGAGAGGGTGGCACAGTTCCAGATGTGGCTGATGTCAGCCTACTGGTCCCACTGTCACTCAGAGATCAGGTGGAGCAACTCTGCTACATTGGGAGTTAGTCTGGAGAGCTCCATGGGCAAGGCCCTCCCTGGCCTCACGAGTTCAGTGGACCACATGCTTCCAAGAAGTGTGAGCTCTTACTGCCCACTTGGGGAACAGAGAGAGGAGCTATAGCATGTTTGGGCAATCATTTTTTCAAGCTGGAGCTTTAGAAGCTGGGTTGAAAAATAAAAATCGAATGAAACGGGAAAAACACAGTGCGTGGGAACCCAATGAAGCAAACCCACAATTAGCAAGATTTCTCCAATCTGATGGCTCCTCAGAGAAGAGCACACTCCAGAAAAGGGCTAATTATACGCTTGTTTATTCAGGCCACAAATAGCATTTTGACAACTGGTTTGGGGTTGGGAAGGCCCTTCTGAGGTCATCTTAGCCCATCTTCTGCCTTATCGGAAACCTCCACCAAACAGACACTGTGCCTAGGACATACCCTGTGAATTCCGCTGAACAAAGTTTGCATCAGATGTCAGATAGTTTCCACTGGGAGAAATCTAGGAAATTTTGTTATTTTCCTATACATTGATAGAAAGGTTTACATACAGAAGATGAGGACGTCAAAGGCAATGAACTGAATTTTTTACCACACAGTTGATAAAGAGGGGAAGAATGCTGTCTAGCCTATTCCTATCAGATTAAGAAATGGTAGAACCTTCCCCTCATAGCTGTACTGTCTTTACCTCAGCCCAGTGTGTATCTGTGTACCTTGTGACAGCAAAACAAAATCAGCCCCAAAACAAAAAGACAAAACATCTGTTATTTGTGACCCCAGGTAGAGACATGAAGCTTGAATTAGTGTCAAATGCATCTCTGTCAAAGTAACTGGTGTGTACTCACAGGGTTCATTGTGGGATTTGGGGAGGTTGTGGGAAGGTGGGGACATGGGAATGTGGGACCTCATGTAATTGTGCGTGCGTGCGTGTGTGTGTGTGTGTGTATGTATGAGAAAGAGAGAGAGTGTGTGTGTATGAGAGAGAGGGAGTGAGAGAGAGAGAGAGAGGGAGAGAGAGAGAGTATACATGAAATAATGAACATATTCACTAGGTGTCTTTGGATCGAATATTTTTTCTTTTGTTCTTGAATGTTTTTGTGTGGTGAGGTACAGTATGAGTACCTGGGTTTGTTTTTAAAGGTGAAGCTACCAAAGACTGGGTAGAATGCCTTCCCCCGTGGGAAGGGCAATGAAAACCTTGAGAGTTCCACAGGATATGAGGTTGAAGCACTCTCTAGGTATTGTCACATTCCAAGAGTGTGGCATAGTGTATCTGGAGCCGTGGTGGGAATCCACCTTTTTGTCCTAGGGTTGGTGGATGTATTTGCATGGCAGGTTCAACACAGATACCAGACCTTTGGAGGAAGCCTGCACCTGAAGAGGCAAGACCACAACCCCTGCCCAACCACAGGGTCATTGCATTCCTGTCTGTGCCCTGTGCTCACCCTCTCTGGCCACTCAGCCTTCAGAAGAGAGAGCAGCTTCACAAAAGGCCTTGGGCCCCACCCCCCAAGTGATTATCAGATGTATTTATTATGTAGCTTACCTGAAAACTGAAAAGACAAACCTGTATTACTAATGTTTACATATCTTAGTAGCCATCTAGCTCATGCAAAATATGTATCTTATGCAGGGACTGTATCTTTTCTTCTTTCTTTTATAACAAATGCAGTAAGAAAGCTATATATATTTTACATGTCTGCAGGAAAATCATCTGCTGTTGTGGAGTTGTAAACTGCTGCACTTTTCTATTTTTTTAAATTAAAGTCTCTGGCATGTTTGTGGTGTGTTCTAGTCTTCCTTCCTCAAGCAGCTGACTAGGGGTGGGGGCACCCTGATGGTATGTCATTCATGCTCTTATTTCCCTCATTACATCAAGAC